TTAGTATACCATCAACTATCAAAGAATTAGGGAATAATTGTTTTAATATATGTTCATCATTAACATCAATTAATATTCCATCAACAATTAGTAAAATAGGAAATGAGTGTTTCTTTGAATGTACATCATTAATTGAAATTAATATAGATACTATACAGTTCATTGATAATGAAAAAATATATATTAATGAACCAATATTAGTTAGTATTGAAATACCAGAAAATTTAAAACTAATCAATAAAAGAAATGCTACAAAACAAAATATTGATGAATTTATTTTTTCATCATCAATTAATGAATTAGGAGATAATTGTTTTTATAATCACCAAACATTAACATCAATTAATATACCAATATCAATTAATAAATTAGGATGTAACTGTTTTTATGCATGTAGTTCATTAACATCAATCACTATACCATCAAGTGTAATTGAAATAGGAGAGTATTGTTTTTATAAATGCAAAGTATTAAAAACCATTAATATACCAGCAAGTGTCAGTAGAATAAGAGATAGTTGTTTTGAGTGTTGTTCATCTTTAACAACAATTAATATACCAACATCAATTAGTGAAATAGGAAATTATTGTTTTTCATTTTGTTCATCATTGACATCAATTACTATACCATCAAGTGTAATTGAATTGCCTGATGGTTGTTTCAATGATTGTATTTCTTTACTTTCAATCACTTTACAATCTTCTGTTAGTGCATTAGGAAATTATTGCTTTAACAGATGTAAATTATTAAAATCAATTAATATACCAACATCAGTTAATAGAATAGGAGTTTCATGTTTTAATGAATGTCAATCATTGACTAATATCAAAATACCAACATCAATAATATTATTTGGAAAATCATGTTTCTTTAATTGTGGATGTGAAGAAGAGTTAAAACATAACATAAGTATTCCAAGAGAGTGTTTTGAGAAAGAAGAATAAAAACAGTGAAATGATATATTAATTCTAATATATTATTCTATTTTGTATTTTAAATAATATTTCATTTTTATTAAATTTGTATGAAAAATAATAAAAGATAAGATGATATGGAAATATGTTAACTGTTCTTATATTAACTTTTATTTTAATCATTAAATAACAAATGAACAAACTCAGATGTTTATGATAATTATCAAATCAATAATTTATTCATTTAAAAATAAAATTCAAATCAATGACAAAGATAATTTAATGATTAAGAATTATAATTAATATCAAATAAAAAATTATATAATATGGTTCATTATTAAACAATAATAAATAATAAATAAATAAATACAATATACTTTTTCAACAAGAATATAAAATTGAATAAATATGAAAATAACAGAATAAATATACATATTTATCAAATAAGTTATTAATTATGTTATTATTTCATGTCACTTTGTTCATTACAATATTTATATAATTATTTTGATATTATTTTGAAATAAAACATTACATAAACTAAATACAACAAAACTATAAAATAAAAGATATTCAATTAGTTTAAATCATTATTCGATTATACTTATTTAATTATGAAATAAATAATAATTAATTTAGACTATTTATTCTTTTTGTATTTATTTTTCTCTTCATTATTTAGTTATTCTTTTGTATTATTTCTTTCATTTGTTTTAATTCATCATCATTATGTTTATTTCTATTTTGTTTTGCTTTGAATATACATTAATTGAATTAATAATTACATTATGTTTTGATATATCTTATTTGTATATTTTCTTCTTTTCTATCTTTATTCTTTTATTTTAATCGATTTTCTTTTATTCTTTTCTACTTGTTCTTCATGATTTATTGATATTTCTATTATTAAAATGTATTAAAACATTACACTATGTTTGTTTTATATTCCTTTCTGTATTTTATTCTTTTATTCTTTTAAGTTTTGTTTGTTTCTAAAATTCATTTGTTCTTATAATTCATTCATTGTATTATTAATGTTTATTTATTCACTAATTTCTTTTTACAACACATAAAACATCAAAAAGAATAATAGACGAATTAACAAGTTAACAATTTATTTATTAAAAATATAGGAAATATCATAATACAAGATAGTTAAAATATGATAATAGCAATGTCTTTCATCCATTGTTATACGAATTTATAATATTTAATATATTTTAGTATTCTACTATATTAACAGTAACCATATTCTAATTAACACACAATTAAAACAATAACAGAAAACAACTCACATTTGAAATAAGAAAATGAAAATGACAAGAAATAATGAGAAATAAATCAATTAGCAATATGAGTAGAAAATATTTGAGAAAGGGTAATTCCTTGAGCATGTCTTTTTTTAGAAGGAGTATTGACAACATTTAAAAAACCTTTATAAGTATATCCAACAAAAGCAAGGTCTTTTGGATTATTAATATTAACAGGTTTTTCTTCAACATCATCTTCATTTAATTCAAAGTCATCAAAATTACTTGTATCAAAAGGACTTTTTAATTTAGGAAGATAAGGAGGTGTTTGTTCAAAAATAGTATCCCAATTAAAACCTTTAAAAAAAGGGTGTTGTTGAATAAGTTTAATATCAGCAAGACGTTTTTCTTTTAAACAAACTAATTTTTTAATAAGGTCTTTTGCATCATCGTGAATTTCAACATCGTCAGGAAATTGTAAAGTTTCATTACAATTAATAATTTTTAAACAAGTCTGAACAGAATCATCACTAACAAAAGGTGGATAACCAGCAAGCATTTCAAATAAAATACAACCAACACTCCAATAATCACATTCTTTATAATAACCTTTTTGTAAAAATACTTCAGGTGCTGTATAGTCAGGAGTACCCACTACAGAATAAGCTAAATTTCTTTTTTTATTTTTATAATTATGAGCCAATTCTTTAGATAATTTTTGACTTTTTAAATCACTTAAATTTAATTTTGAAGCTTTATCAACAATTTCAAAATATGAACTTTCATGATCTTTATGAAATCCGGTACACAAACCGAAATCTGTTAATTTAATATGTCCGTTATTATCAAATAATATGTTGTCAGGTTTAATATCTCGATGAATATAATTTAATTGATGAATTGAATCTATCGCAAGTAATAATTCTGCAATATAAAATCTTGCCATTTCATGACTAAATATATTCTCTCGAATTAATAATGTCATCATATCTCCTCCTGCTAAATATTCCATCATTAAATATAAATAATCATTATCTTGAAATGAATAATATAATTTTACTACCCAATCATTCGTAAAATGGGTTTGTGCTAATATATCTCTTTCTGCTTTAACATGTCCTGTTTGTCCTCTTTCAATCATATCTTTCTTTCTCATCATTTTCATAGCAAATAATGAATTACTATTCTTTTTTACAACTAATCGTACTTCTCCAAATCCTCCTCTTCCTATCACTTTAATAGTTTCAAAATCACTTTTCTTTAATTTAGCTCTTTTACATCGATTATATTCATTTTCTTTTTCTGCCAACTCAGCTCGTAATGAATTTTTCTCTTTATCACTTAATGTAGATTTACTAAGATAATTTTCTAATGTTTTGGACCGTTCTTCTCTTTCTTTTCTTTCTCTTTCTCTTAATCCAGCTTGTGCTTCAATTGTCATTTTTGTTCTAATTGATGCAGTAACTGATTTACTACTTAATTCTGTCTCAACTTGTGCTGACATTTGCCTCTCCATTTCTTAAAAAATCTTCTCTTTCATTTTCTTTTCCTTTTTTTAAGTTCTCTTTTCTTTTTCTTCTTTTTTTCTATCTTTTTTTCCTATTTTTTCGGGAGATTATGCTTTTATTTTCTACTCAAAAAAACATGTTATAATAAATTGTTATATATAACAATAAATATTTTATTTTTAAGAAGCAATCAAACAAACATAGTAAAAATTTTACAGTTTGAAATTTGCAATTTGTTTTGTGAAGAAAAACAGAGAAAGCAAAAATAAAAAAAAAAGAAAACAAGGAAGAAGGAAAAAAACAATAAAATTTAGAGTCAGATGGTTGGCGAAAAAGAAAACTAAAAAGAAATTAAAAAAAAGTTAAAATAAATAAAAAGAGATTAACTTCTTATTTTGAATCAAAAAAAAACATAAAAGTCTAATGGCAATGAATTGTCCTTATCAAGTGAGTTACTATCCAACTGTACCATTTGACTATTGTGATATTGGAGAAATTCGAGAAGATTCATCAGATGATGATGCAAGTATATATATTACTAACAGTACTTTTTCTTTTCAATCAACATCTTATGAATCAAGGATGGATGAACAAATTCAAAATAATGAACGTTCGTCAAAGAAATTTAAAGACTTTACAGCTTGGGTTAAAAAGTTAGCTCGTAATACTTCAACACACAAAATGTATATTTGTGGTTCAAACGCATCTATTATAACAAAAAAATGGTTAGAAGAAATAGGTAAATCAGCGTCTATTGTTCAACTTAGTGATGTCAGAACTCCTGAATTTCTTAATGCTATAGCATTAGGTGATATTGTAATCGTTGAAGTTCCAAATATCAATTCATTGACCGACAACCTTGACACCTTCAAAAATTTTAAACAAAACAATATTATTGTTTGTTGCACTGATATTAAAAACTGTCCTAAAAATAAAGGAGCTTCTTTCAGTGCTGTATTTAAACGAATTTCTCTCAAGTGATTTTTATCTTATTCTTTTTTATATCCTTTCTTTATTTTTTATTTTTAAATTTACTTTATCTTAAAAGACTTTCGTTTTTTCAATGACTTTCTTAATGATAAAATAAATAAAAGCACTTATGTTCTTTTGAAAACACTAATAAGTAGAAAAAATTGAAATACTTATAAACATGTCCTATACGTCACTCATTATTTTATTCTGCTTTTAAATTATAAAAAATAATTTTATTTCTTTCTTTAAATTCTTTGAAATTGGGTTGACTTTTCATTTATCAGAAAAATTATCTCTTCTATCAAAAAAATGAAAAAAAATCAACAACTATTTCAAATTGTTCAATAAATTTAATTTTAAGGCCAAACACTGTACTAAATAGAGTTAGTTTTCTACTTAATATTTTGTTATGAAAAGAAAAAAAAGATATAAGATATGATAAGAAGAAAGATAACAAACAATCAAAATTGCTGCAACAGCCAAATTGATTATAATCAATACAACAAATGTAATGATTAATACAATAATTTTGGTATTTTCATGTAATAAATGGAACATATTCTTAAGAATTGTAATGGACATAACAACAAATCCAATAACAATTAATGGAATTTGAACAAACCAAAATGGAATAGCACATAATGGAATTACGATAAGATAAATAGTATAAGAATATCCAAATAAACAAATGTAAGAAACTAATGAGTTCTTAATTTTAAAGGCAAATCTACAAACAGCCCAGAGAATAATTGGAATAAAAATGATATAAAGTAAGATAGTACCAGTAATAATAGAAAGTTTTTTATAATCATATGCATTTTCAATAATTGAACTTAATGAACCACTGAAAAAAGCTAAGAAAACAACAGTTAATGGAATCCATAATGGTCCATATAAATCAGGACTATCTTCAGTTTGTTTAAAGAAATTACCAAAAAATGGAATTAATCCCCAGAACATTCTTTTTAATACATCTGTAGTATCAACATTGAACCATCTTGCATAGAATTCTGATTTATAAAAATGATACCATTTATATTCTTTTATTTCTTCTTCTTCATTTGAGGTATTTGGTTTTTCTTCATCACCAGCTCCTGATGGGTTTGGTTGTGAATTTGTTGTTTGTGTAGCAAAATTAACTTGTTCATTTTGTCTTGCTGAAAAGTCTATATCTCCAGATTGTGCAAATGAGTTATCACTTACAACAAATCCACTTTCATTTGTGTCTTGAGTTGTAATAAATGGATTTGACATTTTTCTTTGAAATTACTAGTTCTTCATACATCTTTTTAATTTTTTTTAATCCCTTTTTTATTTGTCTTTTTTTGTTTTGTTGTTATAAAATTTGTTATTGTTTTTCTTTTTAAAATAATTTTTAATGTTATATATAACAATTTAAAATAAAAATCATTTATTTCGTCAATTTTATTTTAGTTAAGAGTTAATTCATGAAATTATTTTTTTTCATTTATTAAACGTGTTTATTTATATGGTTGAATTTTTGTTATTCAATTGTATTTATTTAATAATTCATTATTTCAACAAAATAAACACTTAAATTCTTTCACTTTTAATTATAATTATATTATAGATGATATCTATAACTAGTAATCAAATAGAAAATACAATAAACTTATAAAGAATTTAAAAAGAAAGAACGATGGTATTATTTATTAATAAAGAATAAAGAAGGAATAAAAGAAAGAAAATTAGAGTAAAATAAAATAATTCCAAAAATTTACTTATCAAAAAAATACAATAGAATAGAAAGAAAATTTAAGAATAACATTGAATAAACGATGAAAGTATTAATGTGCATAAGTGAAATATAAGTATGATTAATAATTTAAATAAATTTAGTATTCTTTTAAATAGATGATATCTAGAGAATTACTAATCTCTATTCTTGGATATTTTTGATATTATAAATTTTTATTTATAATGTTAAAGAATATGTTTTTTTCATGTTATAGGTGATATTACAAACACAAAATTATATTAGAATTGATTATAATGGTATTGTTTGATATTAATTTTTATCTAATTTTATTATTCATTGTAATTTTATCATTATTATGTTTCTTCTTTTATTTATATTAAGAAGAATTTTTCATTTAATAAGAATAGATTAAAATATGACATTTTTCTTTTGCAAATCCTATTTTATTAAAAGTGATAATGTTAAAATTACAATTAAAATATTTCTTTAAAGTTATGGTTATGAATATAAAGTATCGTTTTTAATAAATGGAATGAAGATTAGATTGAAGATGGCACATCTGAAAAATGATACACAAACATTAATACAATTCATGATTTGACTATGAGTGCTATTATTTTTGTTATGATTGTGTATTTGAATTAGAAATATATTAGGTAAATCTGCAAATGGTGCAGCAAGATATTATGATAGAATATTAC